AGTTTTGGTAATTAAAAATATTATTATTATTATTATTATTATTATTATTATTATTTGCAATGATTAACAAGATGCCATTTTGTAACATAATTAAAAAAAGAAACTCGAAGAAACATTCGTTTCGTTCAGACATTATAATTTTATTATTAAATTTTATTCAGGTACCTGATGATTGGTGGTGATGGTGATGGTGGTGGTGGTGGTGGTGGTGGTAGTTACGTGTTAAAATTAAACTTTCCAACATACTTTAATAGATTTATAAGAAAACTATTAATTAATTTAAATGAATAATAATATCACGGTCCGAATTATTATTATTATTATTATTATAAATTGGTTGCGGATTTAAAAAAAAAAAAATTCGCGCGTAATTACACGTTACAAATTTCAAAGAACCAAAAGATCGATAGATGATGATGATGATGATGATGATGGACGAAACGAGAAAGTGTGATAAAAAAATTTAAAAGAAAACCGAGTAGCAGTAGTTTTATTTTGTTCAGATTTATATGATAAAATGTCATTTTGATGTTAATTTTTTTTTCTTTTTCAAACGTGTGTAATAAGCTAAACATTGGGTGTGCGTGTGCGTGCGTGCGTGTGTGCGTGTGTTGACAAAAACATGAGAAAAAATGGGCGTTAAGTTTTGAAAGAATTAAAACTTGCGATGAAATAACTAAGAAGCATAAAGACTACAATTAATATGATTAGATTCACACTGTGTGTGTGTGTGTATGTGACGCGGATTTAACGATTGTCTTGTTTTTGATATTAATAATAATAATAATAATTCGCAAAAAAAAATTTTTAAAGGGATCATTTATAATTGCGCAAAATAAAAATTTAATTTTTTTTTTTTTTTTTGGGGGTTGAGAGCGATCGGAATTGTTATTATTATCATCATCGATTATATTATTATTATTATTATTTTGATTTATTGGTTACGTTGAAAACGAGATGGAAAGATTAGTTTAAAAGGCTGAATGTTGAATCCGCGATTGAATGACAAGCACAAAAGTTCAAAGAGCGCAATCACGCTAGTATACCAGAGTCGTCTAAGAGGTCAAAACATAAAAGATTCTCTACTACCCGGGAGCAAACCGTGAAAGGGATTGTTGGGAATTGAACAATGGACGACGTCCTTTACATACAAAGAATAAAAAAAAAAAAAAACCATTAACTTAAAATATATATACATATACCTGTTTTCTTTTCTTTTATCAAATACATTTTCTAACCATCGATAACACGAATGGTTTCGGTTTTCCCTCTCGCCGAAACAATGTTGCCACCTCTACCTCTACTACTACCACTGCTGCCACGTCATCGAAGTGTTTTCCAATTCAATGTCAATTCTATTGTTCTCCAAATGAAAGAAACAAATAATAATAATAATTTGTATATACCTGACGTAAATGAGGAAGTTTTGCGGGGAGAAAAATAAAAAAAAAAAGGGTAAAAAAAAAAAAAATTACGTAACCGTCGTCGTCATCGTAGCCGCCATAATAGTAATAATAATGATGATGAAAACATGAAGAAAATTAAATTAAATTAAAATAATTTTAATAAATAAATATATAAATATATATTTTTTTTTTTATTTAAAGTTAACAAGTCATTAAAACACGAGTATAAAAAAAAAATAAATAAATAAATAATGATGATGATAATAATAATAATAATAATTTATTTGTATTTGACCTTATATAGAAATTCAAGTTAAAATAAAATAAAATAAAAAAAATTAACGTCATTGAAATAATAATAATAATAATAATAATGTTATACATATTTTTTTTTTTTTTTTTTAAGCGCAGACTTTTACTTTTAACGACTTTATTATTATTATCATTATCATTATTATTATTATTATTATGCGTTTTGTTCGAATGCAATGCAATGGAACTGATTCGAAACCGAAATCTATGAAGATGATTTTCTTATACACTAAAAAAAATTTTTTTAAATAATTAATGACGTCATTAAATAAAATAAGATTTTTTTCGTGTATATAAGAGATCGGGGGGGGGGGGACAGAGAGAGGGGGAAAGGAAGAGGAAAGGAGGGGGAGAGAGAAAAGGAAAATTTTACTTTTACGTTTTTCGTGTCAAACGTGTTTTTTTTTAATTACGTTTATTTATTATTATTATTTCTTTTTTTTAATAAATGATTAAATTAAATGAAATTAAAAAAAAAATTATTGAAAAGACCCAATAATAATAATAATAATAATACTATTTATTTTTTTATTATTATCATTATTTTTACAAACGGTGGTGGTGGTGATGATGATGATGATAAAACATTATGCGAATGTGTTTTTTTTTTTTTTTTTTTAAATTTTTTTACCTTTCAATTAATAATAATGATGAGGACGGTGACGGTGACGATGACGATGACGGTGACGACGATGATAATGATGATAATGATAATGATGATAGCAGTGATAAGAAAAAAAATTTTTTTTTTATTCGTCGATTGATGATAAATAATAATTTTTTTTTCTTTTCTTTTAATAAACATTTCTATAATTTTTACGATGTAACCGTATTTATTTATTTAAAATAATAATAATAATAATAAATAATAATAATATTAGTCGTGGCATTTAATGCAACAAGTTTTTAAATAATTAAATTTAACAAAAATAAAAAAAAATCCAATATTTAATTTAATAAGTATTTTAATATATAAAACAAGTATTTAAAAAGTTTTAAATATTTATTATTATTATTATTATTACAACGTGACATAAATGAAAAGTTTAATTAATTATTATTATTATTATTATTAATAATTTTTATTTTTTTAAAAAAATTGGAAAGGATTTTACATCATATTTTTTAATTACATGGGGTAACTTTAGGGCAGTAAATTATTTATATATATAATTGATAACGTGAGGCTGTTAAACTACTTTTTTGATAACCCTTCAGCTCTTTTATTATTATTATTATTATTACGTACGTGAAAAATTATTGTAAGATGTCGATTGTTGGTTGGTTGGTTGTTTGGTTACTGAATTATAAAAAAAATTCCCGAAGGTATATATATAAAAACTAGGTTCGGTAGTCAATCGAGTATATTTATTTATTTATTTATTTATTTATTTTATGTATTTACACAGAATTTGTTTTATGTATATATTTCGTAACGTTTCACCGAGTTCGTGCTCTCTCTCTCTCTCTCTCTCTTTCTCTCGGTGTATTGACCCACCCAATCCATGACATCGACTATTTTTTTTTTATATTTAATCGCCATGCATTTCCCTCCGGATGTGTTTTGTTTTGTTTTGTTTACCTAAGAATGACGAAACGTTTGATGATGAATTGGATAAATTTTTTTATAAAAAAAAAAAATAAATCGTGATTTTAGTCTCATTGGTTATAAAATAAAAAATTAGTTATACGTAATAATTATTTTATTTTATGTTTACGCGCACGCGCACGCACACACTCGCTACATTCGTAACTAATATAAAATATTCTATAACTTATGTTAATTTAAATAAATGATGGATGATGAACGTTTCGCGTAAAAAAATTTAATTTTTTTGAATTTTTATTTGAAATTTACATAGGTTTTTATACTAATAATAATAATGATGATGATGATGATGATGATGATGATGATTTGAGAAAAAAACGAAGGTTTTTAACGTAAATGAAAAAAAAAAAAGAGAGAGAGAAAACGTATTTTTTGTATTTAAAAACGCCTTGAAAAACATGTTTAGATTTTTTGTACGACTTTTTGCCGCCGTCCATTTAAATTTTAAAAGGCGTGATGATGATGATGATGATGATGATGATGATGAGGAGGAATTTTAATTTTTTTTTTTTTTTTAGGTTGTGTTAGGGGGAGGGGAGGGAGGAAATTAAAAATAAATTTATACAAGTAAGACGAAAGGAAAACAATAAATAAATAAAATTCGAATCGAGGCATTAATTAATTGATTATTGATTTCAACCCTTTTTTGAAATTCTAACGCACAGCTTTCTCGAAATTCTCACTCGCCCCGCGAGAAAGAGAGAGAAAGAGAGGTAGAGAGGGGGGGAGAATTTTCAATAAAGACTTTTTTTATATCGTGGGGTGAATATTCGAGCACGCGCACAATTCATATATCAACCAACTACAGAAACCATAACAAGTGAGATCGTAACAAAAAAAAAAAAAAGAGAATTTTTAGGGTAAAATTATTTTTTAAGGGTGAAAAAATTATTTTAATTATTACAAAAATATTTAGTTTAATTAAAGTGTGAATAATGTTAAAATTTTATTTATTTATTTTTATTATTGATTTGAAAGAGAGAGAGAGAGAGTGAGTGAGAGAAAGAAAGAGTGTGTGTGTGAAGGAAATCGTGTCCCATAAACGTTTAAGGGTAAATTTTATGTTTTTTCTCACTTTTATTTATAAAGTTACAAAATTTAAAAAGTAGGTATCGGATTAATAACTAAATTTGTTGTAAATTTAAAAATACTCGTTTAATGTTATTAAAAAAAAAAAGGGGAGGAGCAGATGGGAAAATATTAATTGGGGAGGTTACAATAATTATTTTTATTAATTTTATTTATTAAAATACATAAATAAGTTTCGATACTTGGAAATAACATATGTGCTTGTTAGTGTTATAATAAAATATCCCCCCCCCCCTTCTTGACTTCTTTTAATATTAATAATAATAATAATAATAATTTAATTTTTTTATTGGTTGTTTGTGGTTTATTTGAAAAAAGTCAGGCAGCCCCCCCGGGATTTATAGAATTTTTTTTTTTTTTTACAAGATGCTATCTTAAAATTATGCAATCAATGTTTCCTTTCACCCTTTTAAACGAGATACGGTCTATTTATTAACTTATTTCATAAAAAATTATGTATATATCACGAGTCAATCCTGTTTGTTAAAAAAAAAAAATAATAATTTTATTAAAATTTCAGAGATTTTTTTCTTATGATTATGTAATTGTAATATTATTATTATTAGTATTAAAAGGAGGAGGACATGTTAAAATCTAACATATTAATCCACGTTTTTGGTGTTTTATCAATATTGATAACACTTTTCGGATTGATTAATTTCACGAGTAAATTTATTTTCGGTTACGATGAAAATATAACAACGACAAACATAAAGGCAACGACAAGTCACGTATACGATCCGGATATGAATTTAAATTTTAGTTTAATTTGTTTGTTTTCAAAACAACCCCATAAAATCCCATATGAAAAAACAACGTGTCATAATAAGACATTAATTCATTGGTACGTACCTTGGATTCGTTATGACGTATGGAAAAATTTTTGGAAAGAAATAAAAATGAAAAATGAGATGGAAAACATGGGAAAAAAAATGGAATCGAATGATACAGAAAACAACGAAACAAAATTAAATACCGTCGAAGAATATACATCGATGACGTCAACTCCAATACCGAATATGGAAAAATTAACTAATAAAGAAAAGGGAAAATCATCGGTGGTAGTTACGATATTAGTCGGTATTTTATTAATATCCGCATTGGGAGCTTTTTGGGAAGTTTTTAAAGATAAAATAAAAAAAAACGATGATAAAATAAGGGATGATAATAATAAAACAAATGATAAAGATTGTGGATCACTTGCGGATTTTACATTAAACCGACACATACGTAGAGAATCTCAGGTTCAAGGTTCACATTTACAGAGGCAAGCATCATTCGATATACCATCGTCGTCGAAGGTAACCACCAAGACTTTGTTACATCAGAGTTCATTAGATAGAGATTATCCCAATATGATATCTGAAGGTAAGAGAAGTGAAAAATCTCTTCCGAAAAGCTATAAAAACAAAAACGATTCGTATGTAATATCATTATTATCATCACTTATTTAAAAAAAAAAGCAGAAGTAAAACGGAATTTTTCTTAAGAAAAGCGGAAACGATAAGAAAACTTTATTACCTTCTAATATCTTTTACTAATTTTTTGTTTGTTGTAGTTTTTTTTTTTTAATTGTAGTTAGTAATTAATTAATAATTAATTAGATTTAGATAATTAATTGCTTGATAAATTAATTAGAAATTTAAATTTTTTATGGATCAAAACAAACAAAAAAACGAATGAAAAAAAAATTTAATTAGGTCTATACGTTTATCATCATCATCATCATAATTATTATTATTATTAATTGATTTTTTCGTTTTCAGTAAAATCTGAAGAAGTCAGAAGGAATTCTGTACCATCGTACCTGATTAACGAATCTTTAAACGCGGGAAAAATTAATTTCAATTCATCATCTCAATTTTCTCCATTTCATAAAACGTTCAGACGACAGCAATCCATTGATATGTCGAATGAAAATTTAAATTCGGATGTGAGAAAAAAACCTAGGCATTTCATACGAAGGCATTAAATGATAATGATAATAATAATAATAATAATAATAATAATAATAATAATAATAATAATAATAATAATAATAATAATGATTACGCTTTTAAATCGTGTGTAATAAATTTTTAAATTTAAAAAAAAAAATTGTTTTTTTCATTTGGTCAGATATTTTATCAATATATTAATGTATATTATGACGTAATAATTTTATTTTATATCATTTATTATTATTATTATTATTATTATTAATGATACGCACGCACGCACGCACACACGTGCATACACGTTAAGGAGAAAATTATTATTATTTATGTAAAATCTCGATAAATTTTTTTTTTTTTTAAAAGATTTTAATAATTAAACAAAATCTGTAACGTTCGTGTTAAAAAAAAAATCAAAATGGCCGAAACGATAATAATAATAATAATAATAATAGTAATAATAATAATAATAATATAAGTGTAGACAATTTTTTTTTTTGTATATATAAATAAGGAAATACTTTTTCTTTTTTTTTTTTTTTGTATTTTTACATAAATGGAA